AGGTATCACCAAGAAGTAATATTTGCAAATATTCCATTTGAATTTTCTAATTTTTGGTAACATTAAAATAGCTCGAAGGGGGATTGAACCCTACACCGTTGAGGTTATGCTGAGCTAGATGCTAGATATCTAGCCAATTCAGCTAATTAAAATGCCATTCCATCTGTCCCGTCCCGCAGTCAGAAATGTATCAACTGCTCCTATAGAACACAAACTTGATGTTCCCACTTACAGCTACATACTACCGTCCACTGTTATTCATCCAGAAGCCTATGAGAGCATCTCTATGTTGGCAGACCAATATGCAAAGCTGCTGGCATTGCTTGTGGACTCCTGGGCAGGGGGTGGGGCAGTTTTTGGTTACATTGTTCAAATAACTCTATGCCCGATATTGAGAACTGCCCCCACCCCACGAATCTCCTCCTGCCATCCCTCATCTGTGGCCTGGATTCCTGGGTGATCCGAGGCCTTGGGAGAATGTAGCATTGGGAATAGCCACCACATCACTGTTGGCACGGAGCAAAGAAGATCTGATGTGTTTGGCTGCATGGTAACTCAGGTCAAACAGTACATATTGGTGGAAACAGCAGTTGGTTGAGGAGCATGATGGACATCTCCTTCCTAATCCTGGATGACCTAGAAGGACAAGATCAACAGACACATGAGAATAACACCATCTGCAAGTTCCTCTCCAGGCCACTCACTGTCCTGATCTGCAAATATATTTCCATAGTTAGTGTTTCTGGGTCACTGGAACTTTCTAACTAATGGCATTGTGGGTCCACTTAAATCAAATGGACTGCTGCAGTTCATCAAGATAGTTGACCAACACCTTCTTGAGGGCATTTAGCAATGGACAATAAATGCTAGACCAGCTAGGAGTGCCCAAATACCATGACTGAATAAAAAATGTGATTGTAGGAGCAGCTTCTCAGATTTTTTGTCTCTCGTGGTCAGGAGTGACCTTTCCGTGTTTGCCCACGATTAGTATTTCCTGGACGTTTTGGATTGGATTTGGCTGCCATACTTGGTTTTTTGAGTGTTGGTCTTCATATATCTGTGTTATTTCAACAATATTGACTGCTCAAATGTCATGAATTGTTGTGAAACACTTGATGTACTTGGTGGCATATCAAAATATAGCACTAAGTGGGTACAATTAAACTTTAAGCGGTATTAACAATAAGGCGTTACCATTATGATGTAGAATTGGTGCTTCTACTCACTAAAAAATTTTATTTTCTTTCCCTCCTTGATCATTATTTTTTACATTGCTTACAAAGTGCTTTGGGGTCAAAAAATGCAAATGCTTCAACTCTCCCTCCAGAAATCCAGCGGTGTTTGAGAAGTTAGTGTGGCAAATTGTGACATTAAACCCATCCATTATTCTGCAGGACAAACAATAAGGCAGTGTTCTAACTATCTGATTACTAAAATTAATGAGTGGATAGCTAACCAAACACTTAATGAATGTATTTTTATGTTAATTTTTACAGCGGCTCGATGTTATTCTCAGTAGTTATCCAGAAGGGCACAAATCAGCTGCTGTAATCCCACTGCTAGATCTGGCTCAGAGACAACATGGTTGGCTACCTATCTCTGCCATGAACAAGGTAATGAGCATGATCAAAACTTTGACATAATGCTTACATACTGTTTTATATTTTTGTACACCCCATTCAGTTTCCAATTTTTGAAAAAGAAACTTTTGTATATACCCGTAAGCAAACCTTTGCTAATGTTAGTGTGTAGAAACCTTGCAAGGAATACATAGCATGTGTTCAGTTTCTTAATCTGTGTGTACGGGTCTCACTTTCTTTTTGATTTTGCATTTTGGAGAATTTTTTTGGCATTGTAATGTAAAATCTAGTCAAAAACTCCTTTCTGATTATCCTGGCTTGAATATACGTATACAAAACAAGCTCAGAAACGGTGATCCTGGGGTGCTTGTCCACTGATCCCTGAAGGCAGCAGGACAGGTTAATAGGCCAGTTAACAAGTCATACAGGATACATGCGTGTGCCAGTCTCAGTATAGATTATAACAGCAGGGAGGTTATGTTGCAGCTATACAAAACATTGGTTGGCCACAGCTGGAATATTGTCTGCAGTTCTGGTCACCATATCATAGGAAGGATGTGATTATACTTGAGGGATTGTAGAGGACATTCACCAGGTGTTGCCTAGGATGGAGCAGTTTAGCTATGAAGAGAAGTTAGATGAGCTTGGGTTGTTTTCATGATACAGGTAAGGCTGACAGGGGACCTGATTGAGTTAATAAGATTCAGGGGCATGGACAGAGCGGATAGAAAGTAGCTGTTCTCCTCAGCTGAATGGTCAGTAACAAGGGTGCATAGCTTTAAGGTGAAAGACACGGATTTTTAGATGGGATTTGGGGGAAAATTTTGTTTCCCCCCCACGACAAATCGGGGATGTTGGAAATCTGGAACGCACTGTCCAGAAAGGTAGATGAGGTGGGAAACCTCACAACGTTTAAGAAGTACTTGGATGAGCACTTGAAATTATATAACATTGAAGTCTATGGGCCAAGTGTTGGAAATTGGGACTCGTGTAGCTTTAGAGTAGCTTTTGTCAGTGCAGAATCTATGGGCCTGCTGTACTGCATGATTTTATGATTCCAAAACTGTTCTTCTGTACTGTTAAAAATCTTGAAATTTCTGAGAATATCCTATTATACAAACACCATCATGATTGTAACATTCAAGAAGATTGCCTACCACTTGAGAGTAACTAGGGACGGGCAATATATATGGCCTTGTCTGGGGTCACTGACATCTTGACATTAAATTAGAAAAGATTCTGTATAGTCAACAAATTTGTATGTCTGGCTGTCCTAAAAGTTAAAGTCAATTTGCTGGATTGAAAACAAATGTGTCACGGTTCACAATTTTAAAATAACCCAACCTTTTTAGTCACCATTGTAAAAGACAAAATGCTGGCTTCAGTTATGTACAATGGTGAATAATATTGATGATATGAACAGACGGGGTTAGAAATTTTATTTGTTCGTTTTAATGACTTAAACCAAGTACCCACCAAAAGAATCTTTCTACTAATTGTCCGGCCTTTAAATTGTCTGTTGCTGCACCTCGATTGATCATATGGTGTTTTCAGAATTCTTGACAGGAAGCCAAACCCAGCACATTGCCATATGAGTGACTCAGTTTTGTAATTCTGACCATCTGCTATTTTTTTTTTTTGCATCTGTTTTCTTCATTTTTCTTTTGTTATGCAGGCTGTTTACCCACTTTAAAAAGTACTACACAGTGTTGCTTTGATAGTACATTGCTTCGTCAAAATCGTGACTTACTACAGAGATTGTTTCTCAGTAATTCTACAAGCCCATCAAATCAATCTTGGTTTCAGGAGTACTGTATAAATAAGGCATTGTGTTGTCAGCCATCTGTTGTGTATTGCAAATCCAATCATGCTTGCTTTTGTTGGTGGTCTGTTCCAGTTATATGCAATTTTGCTCTGTTTTTCAGCTCACTAGACTGCATCCATGTTATTTTGAGCTACAAGTTTGATATTAACTGTCAAAGACCCAGGGGATTAAAGCAGTCACTAAAATAAGAAACACGTAATTGTAGCAAGCAACCAATAGTAAAAATGTCATACATGCTCACAGATTTTGAGAGCTCACTCTTGATGTAAAATCAGTGTCCTTACCAGTTTTGTGCAGAAAATGTGGATTGAATTCTATAAAATGAAATTTATATTGTCAAAATTGAATACTGATCTACTCTAATATTTAGTATTATGTCTCTGACATTAAATCACAGGAAAGGAGTCAACTATTTCATTCAGCTTTCCCATTCAGATAGGGTACAGAATAATCCCATTTACCATTACCACCCATTGTCCCCATCCCCAAATATGCAATACTCATGAAATGCAAAGGAAAAGTATCATAAATGTCATACCATGTAGAAGATAGTCTCAACAGTGAGGAGGAAACAGACTCTGTCAACATTGTCAACCTTTTCTTATGAAACCCCCTTCATTCTAGAGACCAAATTGATGCACCAGGCAGTCTAAATTGATTAAAGGCAAGTACAATGATGATGAACATTTTCCTCAGATTGAATAAAAGATAAATGGTGGAGTGAGCCAAAGCTTATAACTAGAACTGCTGCTTCTCTTTGTTTTGACCTAGACTTGTATACAAGGCACAATTTCTAAACTTACAGATCACAAGACTTGGAAGCATAATAAACCATGAGGAAGGTAGTGGTTAACTTCAAATATGACTCGGAGTCTAAAAAAGGATATTGTCACACTGGCGGAATTGGTATTCATGTGGCAAATAATTTAGGGTGAAGAGATACAGTTTGATAGGAGGAACGAAAAGAGGCAGTATACGCTAAAGGGCACAATTATGAAATGGGTGTAGAAAGGAGAGACACCTGCACTAACAAAGAACAAAAAAAAATTACAGCACAGGAACAGGCCCTTCAGCCCTCCAAGCCTGCGCCAATCCAGATCCTCTATCTAAACCTGTCGCCTACTTTCGAAGGATCTGTATCCCTCCGCTCCCTGCCCATTCATGTATCTGTCTAGATATATATTAAATGATGCTATCGTGCCCGCCTCTACCACCTCCGCTGGCAACACGTTCCAGGCACCCACCACCCTCTGCATAAAGAACTTTCCACGCATATCTCCCTTAAACTTTTCCCTACTTACCTTGACATCGTGACCCCGGGTAATTGAGTCCCCCACTCTGGGGAAAAGCTTATCGCTATTCACCCTGTCTATACCTCTCATGATTTTGTAGACCTCAATCAGGTCCCCCCCCTCAACCTCTGTCTTTCTAATGTAAATAATCCTAATCTACTGAACCTCTCTTCATAGCTAGCGCCCTCCATACCAGGCAACATCCTGGTGAACCTCCTCTGCACCCTCTCCAAAGCATCCACATTCTTTTGGTAATGTGGCGACCATACATATAAATTACTGAAGGTGGTGGAGCAGTTAGAAATTGACTGTAAAATGTTGAGGATCTTGGGTCTTATAACTAGATGTATAGAGCACAAAAGCAAGGAAGTTACAGAGAACCTTTATTTATCTAAAATATAACAACTGGAGTTCCAATTTTAAACACTACATTTTGGGAAGGCTGTGGAAGTTTTATCGGGTGCACAAAAATTAAAAAAAATTGAGAATGGTTCCGGGCATGACAGATTTCAAATGCTGAGGTTATTCTCAGAGAAGAATAAATTGAACAGAGATTTGATGAACATGTTCAGAATCATGGTCCAAACTGTGGGTAGAAAATCCCTTTTCATTGGGCTACAGTCGTGAAGCCCAGCTCATAGATTTAAAGCAATTGGCAAAATAACCAGTTTTAAGCAGCAAGTGTTATGATCTAGAACACATAATCTGAAAAGCTAGCTCAGACCAATTCAAAAGAGAATTGGATAAGTACCTGAAGGGAAAAGAATTTGCTGGAACTGTGGGGTGCAAAAAAATAGGGTAGTGAGACCAGCTAAATTACTGCCAGAAGAACTGGCACAGGTCCGACAAGCCAAATGGTCTCCACTGTTGTAAGTATGAACATGATGTGAAATAAATCAGTTAATTGATTGAAGTTTGGCCTTGCCTTTACAAAATGCAATTTTGGTCCACCTTACAAAAGGTTAGATGAATTAAAGACGTGAAAATCCCATTAGAAAGGGAGCCCTGTTGGATCACCCTTAGTTCTACTAACCACTGAAATGTTCATGTGCAACTTAATAATATAAGACTGATTTTAGGAGTAGTTAGTGTTGCTGAATCCGAAAAGCTGAGGCAAGATCCTAATTTTTAAATGGGAAACAATTTGCAATCCCATAGTCTTTTACGTAGCATTTTGATGTAGAGGTTCTAAAATGCTATGGTAAACATTGTTCTTCATATTTGTGGCCTCTTCAATAAATCCAACTTGATTCACTTCCCCTCAGAAGTGATGTTTTGTTTGAAGACTCAGTTTGATTTGACTGCCTGAAACACAAGAGGCTAGCTTTTATGCTACATGGATATCTTTAGTCAAATGAAGATTTTTTTCAACCAAAGACATCGTTATATATTTCTGTAATCTCAAAATGTAGCACTTCTTAGGGCTTTCATTGTGCTGCATAAAGGTGATGATACATGTTAAAATGTACTGACTACCTCAATTACATATATTGCATCCAAATTATTTAAAAACGCTTGATTTAATTGGTACAATCTATTTCTTTTGGAATCTGTTCTAGCATGTGAAATTTTAAAATCACTTTGTAAAATTTATTTTTCTCTACAAGGTTGCCGAGCTTCTGAATATGCCTTGTATGAGGGTATATGAAGTAGCAACGTTTTACACGATGTTTAACCGCAAGCCAATGGGAAAGTACCATATTCAGATCTGCACGACCACACCATGTATGCTCCGAGAGTCTGATAGTATTGTAGAATGTGTCACAAAAAAACTTGGTAAGCAGAAAATCTGGTTACTCCGGAGTCATTTACTAAAATGGGAAGATTTTTATATTCTAATAACTTAATCAATACTGGGAGGATGCCTTCTTTTAAAAACAAAAATTGCTTTGATAACATGTTTCTTTAGTTGATAGCATTTGGTTTCACTAAATATTAATATTCATTGTGGGCAAATAAAATTCCAGTATTGATTACTTTAACTCTGTCTTGTTCTACGCAAAATTACTGAAGTGAAATGATTTGTGATTGGTATTCTGAATTTTTATAAGTGAGATCTATCCTTAAAAGGAAAATATTATGATCACATAAGGACTTCTATTGCCACATTTTTCTAAATCCTTCCTTGGTAAAAACAGTTGCATTCCTATCCTCCAGAACATCCCAAAGACTTCTCAATCCGTTAGGTACTTATGCCGTGTTGTTACGATTGTCTTGTAGGTAGATCCAGCAACCATTTTGCACACAGCTTGTCAAGAGAAGACACATTTATAGGATGCCACGTGACTTATGGTCCAGTCAATAGGTAGCACGGATCCTAGTTTAATTAAACATCCTATGGTCGACACAAAGCAAGACAGCATTCCTTCATGAAATCCTCAATTTATGCATTATTTATGAAAATCTTTAAGTCATTGGGAATCAAAAGGGAAAGATGTTCCCTGGTTAAAGTTAAACTTACCACAAAAGGAAAATATTATGATCAAATGAGGACTTTTAATGCCCCAGTTTCTAAATCTTTCCTTGGTTTAAAAAAAAAGTTACATTTCATATTCTCCAGAACAACCCAAGCAGCTGTTGGAGATTACTCATCTTAGTTCCAATTTGTAACTGATTTTATAGCTGAAGTTAGGAGCTAGGATTCCCTAAGGATGAAGTAGTCTGTGTCAAATGATGGCCTGTGATTTTATAACCAGCAGAAAAATACTGTCTATATTTTAAAATCTGAATAAACAACTTGAAGTGTTAAGCTAGAGAAGTTACTCTACTATCTTATGTAACTTGTTTAATCAAAATAGTTTATTTTTCATAACTTTAGGAAGATAGATTCCCATTACAGTAAGAGTCCATTAATGAATAAGCATCTCCTTTATACTTTCTATATCAATTCTAAATTCATACTCTTTATGGATTCACAGGCAAGTGAAAATAATCTTCATTTACCTTTTTGAAGAATCTTAGATTCCCATAACCTTGGCTGTGGTGGAATGCAGTCCTACATGAAATTTATTACAATTGCTATGTTATTAAATTTGTAGTTTTCATAACTTTTCCAATAGATCAAGTGATCATTTCTATTAACTCATTAACTTTATTTAACATTGATAGCTATAAGGTCCCATTTGACCTTTGTAGCTTTTCTATCTACAATGGTTAGACAAAGTTTTGAGCACTAAAGTCCAATTTTCTTATAGAAGTTTTACATGTACTGCTTTGAACTTTGTTTTATACCCGACCTTTTCCTAACCTTACTGATCAGGTAATGACAGTCCATCTCTCCATGCTGCCTGATTCGAGACCCTACCACTATCCCAGCTGAGAACTATTGTAGATCAAGTTGAAGACTTTCATGGATGATGGCTCAGAATATATGAATACTTAAGGAATAGGAATGAATGAATTGAATCTCATGTGAATTGTTGTTCACAAGTGTTAATTAGATTAACCACCCCGAAGCTGTAAATCGTAACATACGTTTTCCTATAATTTATAGTAGAATCCCTCAGATGGTGACTAACCTTCTGTTCTCTTCCCATAAAGAGCCCTATTTTAAAGTCATCATTGCTACTTTAATTAACAATTAGAAAATTCTCCTTTCCCGCCATGCCATACTGACGGGTTTGATTAAATAAAATGGAGAAGGGAACATAGTTATTATGGTTTTAAGCTATGATCCCTTGCCTGATGGTTTCAATGGTAGAGAAGTTAACCCGAATTACAACTGATATTCAACATAACTTTACTTAATATTTGGATAAACTAATTTCTTGGTTTCAGTATTTTTAATCTTATAAATTAGTGCAAGTTTTTACTTTAAAGGCAGCTGATTAACTTTGACTTTAACTTAAGCATATCATACGTTACTCAAAACATTTGTCTTGCCACTTTTTAAATGCAATGCAGCACAAATACCCAAATAAGCACTTTAAACTGATTGTTTTTATTGAAATTACTTGATTTTAAAAATGTGCCTTTTCTAAAACTGCGTAGCAAAAGAAACAAAATCCAGCCTTTAAACTATTAAGCAATTGAATCCTGGATAGTTCCGATGGATCTTTTGAAGTGAAACAGTGTTTTCAGTTTAGTTCATTTCATCTTTAGGTATCTCTATTGGGGAAACTACACCTGACAAGCTTTTCACTGTCACGGAGGTGGAATGTCTGGGCGCCTGTGTGAATGCACCAATGGTGCAAATTAATGACAATTATTATGTAAGTACTTTTGAAATGGATTGGTACTGTTTTACACGTTTATATGCTTTTCTATACAGGGTTGTTAAACTGTAGTTTAAACATTATAAAATCTATAATTTCAAGTTAGCATTACATCTTGTATGGCAGTGAATGGAATAGCACATAAGTTAAGAACTATTTCAGTCAATGTAGATTTCAAATTTTGGTCTAAAGCAGGCAGATTATTTTATAATTGGAGATGATTGAAATGGCTGCTATTTACAAGTACATTAAGAGCAAAAGAGTAACTAGAGAGAGAATAGGGCTCCTTAAAGAACAACAAAGTCATCTAATGTGTTGAACCTCAAGAGATGGGAGAGATACTAAGTGAATACTTTGCATCAATCTTTACTGTGAAGAAAGAAACAGAGGCTAGAGAACTTGGAAGTAAATATTGATGTTTTGAAAACAGTTCACATTACAGAAGACGAAGTGCTGGAGGTCTTAAAAAATATATAGGTGCATAAAACTCCGAGACCTGATCAAGTGTACAGTATCCCAGGACGGTGTGAAAAGTTAGTGAAGAAATTGTGGAGCCCCTGGCAGAAATATCTGTATTATCTATAAGCATGGTGAGGTGCCCTCCCTTAGAAGAGGTTTCCAAAGGTAGGGTCTTGTGTTGGACATCCAGAGCAGGTTGGGAAATGACCTTTGTCTTCCAGATATTTAGCCCAAGTCGCATTCTCTCACGCCTCTGTGAATGCATCATGAATATATTAAAGCCTGGGCTCTGAGTTATGTGCATATTGCAAATCAACAAGAAAGATTGGGAAAGTCTCTGTTCTCGACTGGAGGTGATGCAGTTCGAACAGTTTTCCACTTGTCCTGTAAATCACCTCCAGTCTGGTAGGAAGCTTCATGGATAACGAGTGGAGGTATTATGTTAAGGAAGATTGAGAAGAGTACCGTGCATCCTCATCATAGCTCATTCTCCCACCCAGCTTTGTGTCGTCTTCAAATTTGAAGACATTACATTTAGTTCCCTCATCTAAATCATTAATATAAATTGTGAATAGCTGGGATGTAAACACTGATCCCTGCAGTACCCTAGTGGTCACTATCTGCCATTAAAAAAAAACTCCTGTTTATTCCTATTTGTTTCCTGTCTGTCAACCTGTCTCTGTCAGTACAGTACCCCATCCCACTAAATCATTGCACATTTTGGCTGTTGGCCGGTTGCTGGATTTTCTGCCCTCTTTTTCACCCACAATCTGCTTTTTAAGTTACAGCCTATTTGTAGGACCTCAGCCTTCATTTGTCTATAGACCGGTTTTCTTTCCGTTGAGCTTTAGTGATACTTCCAGTTCAGAAAAGCCTTGCACTTGCAAGTTACTAGCTCTTGAATCTCCTGATCATTCTCATCAAATGAGGCTTGAAGTTTCCTGGTAGGGAAACCCAAAATTACCTTGCAGGTACTGGTTATAATGGATTTACGGGTAGACCAAGAACTGTGGACTCTGTGCTTCCTGTTCAAAAAATTCAACTCTAGAAGCAATGGACGAAGCCAGAGAGGAATTCTTCCGCCTTGATCACTGTTCTATCTCCAAATTGGAAAAGCAAACACCAAAACGGTTTTGCTGCTGATGGGCTAGTATATAATCCAGTTGAAATGAACAGCTGAGACTAATGCAGGACAATGTGTGTACTTGATGAGTCATTGTCCAAGTTAGAAGTATCATTTTCACCATGCTGGGAGCTGACGATTAGTGGAGCAACCATTTGACTAATCTAGTCTATTATCTCCACCAGCCTAGCCCAAAAACGGCAGCTGGACAAGGCTCACTGGCCTTTATTTCAAAGGGAACGGAGTACAAATGTAGGGTGGTTTTGCTAAGTTTATGCAAAACATTAGTCAGACCACACCTGGAAAACGTTTGAGCCTCTTATCCAAGATATTCTGGCATTGGAGGCAATCACGAGAAGGTTCACTAGGCTGATACCAGGTATGGAAGGACTGTATAATGGAAAGTGGGTCTTTACTGGTTGAAATAAAGAAGAATGAGGCAACTTTATTGAAACATACAAGATTCTTCGAGGACTTGGCAGGATAGGCACAGAAAGCTTGTTTCCCTTTGTGGGAGAATCTAGAATCAGAGGGCATAATCTCTGAAGAAGGGTTCACCCGTTTTAGGTCAGAGTAGGAATTTCTTCTGAAGGTTGTGAATCTATATACCACAGAGGGCTGTTGGGGCTGAGTTACTGAATATATTCAAAACAGAGATGCAGATTTTTTTAATCCACTGAGGGAATCCAGGGTAATGGGGAAAAGGCAGGAATGGGGAGTTGAAGACGAGCACATCAGCCATGATCACACTGATGGAACAGACTCAGTGAGCTGAATGACTAACTTCCGCTCCTATGTCCTGTGGTCACACCACAAAAAATTCATTGACAATGACCCAAAGGATCCTGTGAAAAAAGACCTACTCAGTTGCATTTCAGTCAACCTGGCAATGCTTATAAGTCAGTGAATTAGATCTATAACGTTTGTCAATATTTACTCCTTTCTTGTCTTCTTCTGGATTGCAGTCTCATGATTCATCCAGCTGCTAAGCATAAGTGCTACTCTTGTCAATTCAGTACAAGATCAGTGATCTGGAACCCTGGCTGACACTGAACTCTAATTGAACTTTGGCATTTAGGATTGTTACTTTGGTACGACAGTAGATGTACTATCTATCCTTTTTATTGAACAATATGAGCAAGTGCTACATTTATTTACAATACATATACTTGAATTTTTCTTCACAGTCATATAAATGCATAGGTTATGATGTTACAATTGTAATGTTATATTTGCATTACAGGAAGACCTAACAGCAAAAGATATGGAAGAAATAATTGATGAATTAAAAGCTGGCAAAATTCCCAAACCTGGACCAAGGTATACAATTCAATGAGTTACGCTGTAAAGTTCAATGTGTTTTTTTAAATAAAAAAATCAATGTTTGGAAAGATTAGAGAAAAACAAAATTGCTTTATGCACAACAATAATGAATGCTAGGATTTTTAAACCTTCACCTGTAGAGAACAAATGCTTAATGGAATGTAAATTAATTTGAATTCTACCATCCAGTATGTAATGTTAAATCTATAAATATAATTGTGAATTCTGTACATTTATGTTCAATTAACATTGGGTCATGTACAAAGGGTTTTATTTTTCACAATAGAATTTTACAGTGCAGAAGGAGGCCATTCAACCCACCATTTGTACCAGCTCCCAAAAGAGCTTCTTGGCTAATCCCATTCTCCAGCCCTATCTCGGTTGCCCACTAAATTCATTACATATATATTTAGCTCACTTTTGAAACCTCCTATAGAATCCAACTCCGCCATTCGCAGGCAATGCATTCCAAATACTAACAACTGAGTAACCCTTAGTTACTGACAGACCAACTAGTGGAAACTTCTTTACCCTGTTGAAATTGTTCATAATGTTGAACACCTCAGAAAGGTGTTCTTAATCTTCTATGCTCCCAGGACTGAATAGAATTATCCAAATGTGGTCTAACCAAGATTGGTAGAGATGTTGCATCACTTCCTTGCTTTTATACCCAGTGCCTCTATTTATAAAGCCAAGGATCCTATAAGCCTTCTTAATAACTGTTTCAATTTGCCTGGCCACCTTCAGAGAATCATGCATGTGACCCTCGAGGCCCCTCTGCTCTTGTACTCCCCTCAAAGCTGTACTATTGTATTGTCTGTCAAAGGAAGGTTGGACACGCTAGGCTCATTTTACATTTGGATGTCATTAAGAGTGAAATTTTTGGTGATTATTCAAGTATCAGTCTGGACAAGTAACATTCAGTTTTTTGTGGGAAGGTGGTTACTGCTGCTATTCTTCATGTATACTGCCTCTGCAGTGTGTGTGTTTTGTGGGGGTGGCAGGGAGAAGAGACAGCCTCTGTCTCTTTGATCTTGTTACAAAGGATCTTTAAAATTCTCTTGACCCTGAGAAAAATAATTGTTACAGGTTCCATGAAGATTCTTTCTCCTGTTACAAATCAAATAATTAATCTAAATGTTGGTAATTAGTTCCAATTTTTTTTAAATATGAGACTCATCAGTAAGAGCCAAAAGTAGCTATATTCGGTTTTGTTTCCTTGCCACAGATGTGCGTTGAACAGTTACGTTAGGCAACCTTCTTTGATGGGATTTTGGAATTTAGGACAGGCAGCTGCAGAAGAGTGACCTGATAACTATTTTACTTAATTGTCATTGGTTACTTTAAAAATTTGGGTCAAGTTTCATATTTTTCTAAATATAAAAGTGTTTATGTAAATTAGTCTAATCCTCACTCTAGGTCTGCATAAACGGCTGGATGAGCCTGGATAGTAGTTAACTGGACAGTAAATTTTATTCACAGTATTTGAAGCACACTTTTGCTCAAATCTCAGTTAAATTATCTGTATTATTTAATTATGTGAATAATGAGCAGATCTTAAGAGTATCTGCCTCACCGCATAATGTGGACACAAGCCAAATTGCCCATTGTATGTGATGGCCAGGACTGTCTCTCCAATAGCAAATTAAATTTAAACAGCACTGGCATGTTAATGTTCAGCATTAGGTAGCATTATCAAGCACGTGCTTACATTCAGATCATTCTTCAAGCACTTTCAGTATTAAATTCCAAAACTGAGCTGACAGGTAGTAAGAATCACAATAGTGCAAGTAGGTGTTCTAGGGCCTTCTTAAAAAGTAATTTTCTTGTTAATTTTCTCTCATGGAAAAAACATGTTAACCAGCTGTTGAAAGAGAAATTCCAACATGCAGATATTGAGTAATTTAATGATCAGCAAGGTGTAAACATTTTCTTAACTGTCCAAAATAATCAGTGTGCTTGAAAGCTTTTGCATAGTTGCTTATAGTTTACAACAAGGACAACGGTAGGCACTATTGCTATATCGACAGCTGACTCTTAAATGAGTAGGTATGATGTAATTGTGGTGAAAGTTGTGCAAACTACTGAGTGTAAAAACAAATTTGTTTGTCACCATGTTATAAATTTGCTATTAAATAAACTTTATTTTCAACTTTCATCAGTTTAAATTCTCAGCAGTTTAAGTTGGGGTGGGCAGTGTCAAAGTTTTGTCTGAGGCCTTAGGCCTTTTAATTCCTGGAATTTGTCAGCATGCCCTGAGTGAGTTGTCTGCTCAAAATAGTAGCTGAACTAGAGGCCAATAACTGGTGCAAAGGAAAGTTTACTGGCAACAACCTAAGATGCAAAGAAGGTCAATTGTTAGTGTTCTAGGAGGTGACTACTTTTCCAGGAGGTTCAGTAAATCCTGTAGACAGTGTATAAATAAGTTTGTCTAGAAATCTTTACAGATGCAATAACTTATGTTGGTGATTCTAATAGAAGGAATGTGTAGATAGTTCTTAGCTTCTCTGCTTTGATACAAACTTCTTACACCCCTTACTTCATCTACTGCCCTCTCACCAACAGTCTGTGCAAACAGTTTCTCTATCACTAAGACCAAGATCATCCATTCAACTGTCTCTGCTGCTTCCCTCCCTTCCTGTAGCCCATTGTGTGAACATTTCTCTGGTTTTCCCCCACCATACGAAGATTAGAGAAAATTGAAAGCTACCCACTTTTGTGCGGTCTAAATTCATTTTGTCTGCAAATCCCACCAGCCACACCTTTAATCCCATTATACTGTTGATCTTTCCCATTTCTTATTCATATGCTCCTTGACATATGAAAACTCATCTGAATCCACATCTACACAAATGACAGCCAGCTCTACCTCACTATTTCTCCTGACCTTTCCATTGATCTTATGGTCTCACTACTTGTCTAACAAGCAGTACAGTCTCAGCATACATTTTTTCATAACACTGAGAAGGTTGAAGCAATAGTCTTTATTTCCTACCATCGACTCTAATCCCTCACTATATTCTTCTCCCTGTCAAATGGCTGAGGTTGAACCAGGTAATTGGTAACTTGTTCTTGAGCTTAAGACTAGCATCCAACATCACATCTGTTCTGACACCAAAATTGTCTATTTACACCTCTGTATTTGCGTATCTGCTGAACTCCTTATCCATGACATTGTCTGGCTGTGACTATTTTTGTGCTCTCCTACCCAGCCTTATTTGTTAAATTTAAATCTTGTCCAAAACCCGGCCATATCCTCACTCACATCAAGTCCTGTTCAGTTATCACTCTTGTGCTTGCTAACTTATATTGGCTTCTGGTTTGGTATCAACTTTGAAATTCTCATCCTCTATTTCAGATCATTCATAGCTTCTGCCGTTTAAGCTCCTCTAGCCACCGAAATACCCACCCTCTTGCAATTGTGACCTTTTACATGTCCTGATTTGAAACTGCCAACTACACCTTAAGTTTTAGAATTCCCCTCCCAAAATGTCTGCTTCTGTACCTCCTTTAAGATGCTCCTTAAAAGTCAACCTCACTGGCAAATTTTGGTTACTTGACAGCTCCGTGCTTGGCTCTGTCAGATTTTGTTTAGCTGCCTTAGGATATTTTGCCAAGTTAAAAGGTGTAAGTTGTTGTTGTAAAATTGAGGAAAAATTGCAGGAACTTTTTACATCGGAAATTTATGGGGGGATCAACCCATGTTTCTGCTACCAACAGTAGGAGAAACATGGGTTATGGGGATGATTCTTAACTGCCCTCTGGGCAACAAATGCTGCCTAGCCAGCAACACCCTCATCCCGTGAATGAATAAACAAAAGTAACCTTAAACTGTCTTCAGTCAATAAAGTGACAAAGTAAAAAAACATTTTTATATATGTGTTATACTGTGTTTATTTTTTTTTCTAGGAGTGGACGTTTTTCTTGTGAGCCTGCTAAAGGTTTAACTTCACTATTAGAACCACCCAAGGGACCAGGTTTTGGAATTCAACCAGGCCTTTAACCAGCTACGTGCATCTACAAGATCGGTTATGTATTGAACTTGTGTAGATCTCATTGTATGCGCATTATAAATGTATATAAAAGTTTTCATTCCACCATAAAACATGAATCTGTTGGTTTTCATATGGTGCTGTTTTAACTAACTTTACTTCCTCATTCACACTCAAACCACAAAGTTTAGTCCACCAAGTTTTCCCTTCTTCCAGGGCAGTTTATTTCAAACATTTCTTCCTAAATAAATATTTCGTCTTTTTCTAATTTAAAGCATTTAGTTTAAACTAAGTTCCACATTACAGGTGGAGGAGCTGGACATCTTAAAACACAAAGGTGGATGAATCCTCAGGACCTGATTAGGTGTATCACCGAACTTTATGAGAAGCTAGGAAAGCAATTGCTGGGGCCCTTGCTGAGATATTTGTATCACTGATAGCCATGGCATCAGAAGACTGGAGGGTGGCTAATGTGGTGCTATTATTTAAGAAAGGCGGTAAGGAAAAGCCAGGGAACTATAAACCAGTGAGCCCAAGGTGGGCAAGTTGTTGGAGGGGATTCTAAGGGACAGGATTTATATGCATTTGGAAAGGCAAGGATTGATTAGGGATAGTCAATATGGCTTTGTGCGTGGGAAACAATGTCTCACTAACTTTGGTTGCGTTTTTTGAAGTGACAAAGAAGTTTGAAGGCACAGCAAAGGACATTGTCTACATGGACTTCAGCATGGTGTGTGACAAGTTTCCAAATGGTAGACAATTTAGCAAGGTTCAATCACATGGAATCCCGGAAGAGCTAGCCATTTGGATACAAAATTGGCTTGGAGATGAGAGACAGAGTGGTGGTGGAGGATTGCTTGACCAGCGGTGTGCCGCAAAGATCAGTGCTGGGTCCCCTACTTTTTGTCATGTATATTCACATCCAAATAATTTATTTAAGAGGAATGGTTAGCAAGTTTACAAATGACACCAAAATTAGTGATGTACTGGACAGTGAAGAAGGTTATTTCAGAGAATGTTAATCAGATGAGCTGAAGAGTGGCAGATGGAGTTTAATTTAGATAAATGTGAGATGTTGCATTTTGGTAACAAATCAGGGCAGGACTTGTACACTTCACAGAAGGGCCCAAGGGAGTGTTGCTGAACGAAGAGACCTCGGGGTGTAGGTTCATAATTCCTTGAAGGTGGAGTTGTAGGTAGAAAGAGTAGTGAAGGCCTGATGAAGGGTGTAAAACTGAAAAGTTGACTTTCCTGCTCCCGTGATGTTACCTGACCTGCTGTGTTCCTTAAGCTCCACACTGTATTGACTCTGACTCCAGCATTTGCAGTTCTTGCTATCTTGTAGTGAAGACAACATTCGGTAAGCTTGCCTTTATTGGTCAGTGTGTTGAGGGTAGGAGTTGGGACGTGCTGTCGAGGGTGTACAGGACATTGGTTAGGCCACTTTTGGAATACAGTGTTCAATTCCGGTCTCTCTGCTATATGTTGTTAAACTCGAAAGGGCATAGAAAAGATTTACAAGGATGTTGCTGGGTTGGAAGGTTTGAGCTATACAGAGAGGCTGAATAGGCTGGCGCTGTTTTCCCTGGAGTGTTGGAGGCTGAGGGGTGATCTTTTAGAAGTTTCTAAAATCATGAGAGGTGTCGATAAGGTGAATAGCCATGGTCTTTTTCCCAGGATACAGCAGTCCAAAACTAGAGTGCATAGGTTTGAGGTGAGGGGGAAAGACTTGAAAGGGATCTAAAGGGCAACTTTTGCACACAGAGGGTGGTGTGTGTATGCAGTAAGCTGCTTGAAGTGGTGGATGCTGGTACAATTACATCACTTAAAAAGCATCTGGATGGGTACATAAATAGGAAGGGTTCAAGAGGAATATGGACCAAATGCTGGCAACTAGGTCTCTATTAATTTAGGATACCTAGTCAGCACGGTGGATGAGTTGGAGTGAAGGTTAGCAGTGGACTGTTCTATTCAGGTTGCTCAAACAATGAAGCAATACATGCTAGTGTGTGGCAAAATATGAATAAGACAAAGACTTGGGTAGAAAGACGGCAAGTACATCACACTTAAGGGTCAAGCCACGATTATTTCAAGTCTAACCATCTCCCCTGATCTTCAACTGCATTGCCATTATTGAAATATCCCATCAGTAACATTGTAGAAATAATCAGACTAGTAAAATAACTGGACCAGCCTCATAAATCCTGTGGATTTATTGTACTGTGAATAACTCAGCTGACTAACCAAAGCATGTCCTTTATCTGCAAGGTAGTGGACACTATTCTTTGGAATATACCCACTTTGCCTGGAGGATTGCAGTTTCCAATAAACTCACTCTCATTTAGGACAAAGTGACCTGCTTAATTTGCACACCTTTTATCCTAGTACTCCAGCATTGCAGAATGTTTCTTTTATAAGTGCACTGTCCAAAGGCTTTGATGATAACCTTCCAAACCAGTGACCTCTGCCTCAATGGGCAAGCTCATCGAAACACCAACTTCAAGGAAATCAAGGTATAAAATTGTATTATATTGGTATGATTTGAAGACATGTTGAAATGGATGGAAACAAGAAGTTACGAATTTCATCCACTTTAATTAATTAAATGAATGCTTCTTTATTTAACCGCTACTGCTTTAACTGGCAAAAAAATTTTCACGATTCAAGATGGGAATTTGAGGTATACCACCTTTAATAAAGTGAAAAGATCCAGAACAAGAGGAGATTCAATAGGGAAATTATCCACCCTAGCATCATTCTTCTCTACACAACTTGGATTGTCAACAAATCTTCTTCCCCATTTTACAGCTTGGAGAGTACCTCAATGTCTGTTTTAGAATTGAAAAACCTATAGTGTTTAATCACAATTGCCTGATTTTGAATTCTAAGTACAAGTATTTTAACTACTTTTTCAACCCACCCGGATACATTCAATAATTTGTGCACATTTAGACACAGGTTCCTTTGCTCCTGCACCCCTAATTATTGCTTGTTTTTCTTCCAACCAACAATCGTTCACTTCACGTGTTCCATCAAATCAATTTGCTTCCAACTTTACCACCATATTCCTCAGTTCAGAGATACGAAGTGATGTGTCAGCAGCATAGTTTGAAATTATGCCATATACACTCAAGCCTAGGTCAGAAAAGGAGGGATCCCAAAATGTTGTCCCCAAGGAGCCAAGCTATGTACCCTTCCTGAAGTTTGAAAAAAAAGTTAATGATTACTGTTAGCTGTCAGTCATTCAGTTAACACTGACGCATGCTGCTGCTGTCCCTTTTAGTCCACAGACTTCAACTTCCTGACAAGTGTGTGTGTGTGTGTGTGTGTGTGTGGGTTGGGTGGGGGTGGTGGTGGTGGTGGTGCAGACACGAAGAGAGAATGTGTGTGAGAGAGAGAGGTGGGGAGGCACTGTTGTGTCAAGAACCCAGAACTAAGATGACATGGGAAGAACTAGAAGTTGCTTGATCTTCTATTAGATTCTGGAAGTCCAGCAAATACAAACTAGCTTGTAGTATACATAATTTTGGATCATGTTGTCCAGCACCTTAGATGAAAATAGGTTTCCGAGTAACCAATGAACTACAGAAAAAAAACATTTATCACTAGGAGCCAACTCTTGTAATATAATTAAAATAGAATCTTGCATGGCTCGCAGTGAAGGTTCAGTAAAGCGTTTTCTACCTGTTTGAGGACATGTAGCGTACAGAATAGATTCAGTAATTTTTAATGCTAAAATTTTAGTGAAACTCAAGCTGTATGTCAAGATCATGTCAACCATTACATCCATTTTGATTCGAACTGGAAGCATTTTAAACAGCTATTAATTTTTGCTTTGCCAACACCAATGGGATCATCTTGGTCGCAATAACTAGTTATCACACTAATTTGGAGTACCATATTTAAAACAAAAAAAGAGTGACATAAACACTTGCAAAGGCTAAGGTTAAGTATTCCAAAAATAATTTTTAGATTTGCCAACCATTGAAAGGTTGCAAGTCAAACTATCAGTAAAAGTACCTGCATCTCTCAGACTTGCACAGTTCAGGGTGACTGACTGTCACTTTGAAGGTGAATGAGAGATTAACAATAAATACCAGCCTTGCCACTGACACTACATCTCATGAATTAATTTTAAAAAAGGTCTGAAAGATAATATGGAGTGCATTCAAAATTCATTAAAGCACATCAGCAGGAACAAAGGCCATTGCAGTTTTGCTCTACTTATTTATAGCTAGAGTCGTCTTTCGGTTAGACAAAAGGATAGCTCAACAGACTTCAAGTACATGTAGAGGACATTGGACAGAGAGGGAGTAGAACAGACGTCACTAAATGGATTAACATTACAGTTGCACAAAAGTGGAATGCTATTACGCAAATACAGAGAGGATAGTTTATAAAATTAAATTCAGCTGGACAAACATTAGAAATGCTGTTTAGAACTCTGTTATTTAGGCTATAGAAAGGAAAACTATGCTATAAAAGCAAATCACAACTTTAAGAAAAAATAACTAGCCTTGGAGGAACTGTGACCTAAAGGTTTAAAAAAGTACAGTGACGACCTCTAAAATGGGGAAATATGAAAAAAGTTAACACTAATATTCTGCATAATATATTTCTTTCCTCCTATGCTTCCTTGTAATAATGGAATGATCTAACGCAAAATTTCATTTACAACTCAGTAAGGTGGTGTAACGGAGTACTATTTTAAAATACATTCCACTGTAACTATTACAATTTTACTAATTTATTTATTGACATGCAGGCAGCATACCAGACAATAGTGGCTATCCCATATTCTGGGGGGGGGTTCTCCTTATATTTCATTCCTACTCTTTGCCACACCAACCCTTCAAAAAGGGTTTTGTATTGTTTTCATAATGGGCCAAATCTTTTACTAGCACTACTTATCCAACAAACTTGTTCAAAATAGTTTGGTATTCAATTCAAGAAGGCACTACATAAAAGTGGTTCTAAATAAAATAGTACTCAAGTTGAAGGAAAACAGTGTTCCACAATAATCAGTGTTTTTTGACTTCTATAAAGGTCAGCCCTCAGCCTCTGATGCTCCAGGGAAAACAGCCTTAACTATTCAACCTCTCCCTATTGCTCAAACCCTCTAACCCCAGCAAC